GCGGGAGGGAGGCGGTGGTGAAGCTGCCGCAGGTGCCGGAAGTGATGCGGTACGGGGACGGCCCGAACGACCGGGAGAAGATCGAGACGGAGATCATAAAGGCGTTGACCGCGAGCTATTTCGACGTGGTGCGGAAGAACTTCATGGACATGGTGCCCAAGACTATAATGTACTTCCTGGTCAACCACGCCAAGGACAACCTGCAGAACGAGCTGGTCTCCAATCTGTACCGAGACGACCTGATCGGGGAGAGCATGCGGGAGACGGCGGACGTGGCGATGCGGCGGAAGAACGCTCAAGAGATGAAGCTCTTATTGCAAAAGGCACTGGAGATTGTGAATGAGGTGCGGGATTTCAACACCTTCAAACTCTAAGCCGGTGCTGAATGCGCCTGCCGTGTGTTCGCGCCCTTTTTTGGGGCAGGAAAGTGGTGTTAGAGGATGAAAGTCGGCGGGCGTGGCTGCGGAGGGGTGTGCGGGGCTCGAGAAGCTCGGTTGGGGGATGAGTTGTGCAGATGTCGGGGGCTGGCACGAAGGAATAGTTGCGGGGACGGGTGTACAGGGAGAGATCCATAGGCGAGAGATAACTTTCTTGCAGAAAGAGGCTTGGGCGTCCGGAAATATCGACACGTGTGGGAAGGAGGAAGGGGATTGAAAGAGAAGGATTACCTGGCCGAGGCCCGGATAAGGTGCAGTCAAAGCGTGAGTGCGAGCCCTCTATTCGGACAATGCGGCATTTGTTCATGTGTCTTTGCACGCGTGTGAATATGATCGAAGCTGAGAGTTGCTCCGACTGGGATGGGCAGAGCAAGCGCCCGTGAGGAGAGGGGGGGAGAGGGACGGAAGAGAGGTCGACGGCATGATCCATGCGATGCCCGGTGGGCGGTCAAGAGAGATTTTATGGTCTCGGCCAGGCTCACTCAGACTGATAGTGTGGCAGCTAAGAGGGAAAAGTCAGATCTGCATTACGAGGTATCGTGTAATTACGAGGGCTTACGCAGGGCGCAGGCCGCTACTTTGTCCTGGGATCGCGTGACCTGGGATCGCGTGAGTGAGGCAGGAGTGAAAGGAATTGAAAAGGTGATCGATCCCGCTCGTTCCTGGCGCCTTGTCTGCTATGTTTTATGATCCCTCGCACTATCCCTTAACCCACTTCACGTGTTGGCGACGTTTTCCGCGAGCCGCCCCCGGAGCTCTGTCGGGAACAACCCAAGCAGAGAATCTAGCTCCTTCCGCGTCGCCTGCAGGGCCTTAATGGTGAAAGACAGCTGGTCGGGCTTGAGTGTCTTGTTTGCTATGGGCCCTGCAACGTCCTCGGGGAAGTATTCGAGGATAATGGTCAGATTTTCGTAGGCAGACTTGGCGAATTTCCGACCCTCCTCTGTCGAGCCAGAGGGCAGGAGGGCAAGTGCACTTTCCATGCTGCTTTTCAATTTGTAGTTC